TGATTTTTCTCCTGCCTCTTTAACAATTCCATTAATTAATTTATAAGACAGAACCCAGATTAGTACCAAAGTTTAAAGTTAATGTTGCAAAGCTGTTGACATGCCTTCACAAAAGGGAAAATTAAATTGAAAAAGATACGCTGTTGACTATGTAAGATTGGTTTTTTTTCACTTTAATTTGAAGAGCTATAAAGAGATTGAATTGTAATGCTTTCACACAAAATAATGTATTTCACTGCTTTCTATTATTATTCAAGATCTAGGTTTCTTTAATGTGAACTAGTAACTTCACAATGTGGGCAACCATGTGTAACAAACTAGGTAAGGTCTTTACTGTGAAAATATTTAAGGAATGCATCAAGCTCTCCAAATACATGCACTGATCTTGCAAATATTAGGCAAGAACAGTGACAGCATGGAAGTGATTTTAACGGCCATAAACTCTGTATCTGCCAACATTACACCAGGAACCAAGGAACAAGTTACTTGTTGAAGATACGTCTTCAGTCATGCCTCGCCTCACCTTTATCTAATACACAAGAGGAGACTCAGTTCCAAGGGGGTGGGTGCTTGGTTCTGTTTGTTTTTTTTCCAGTTTCCTTTGACACTCTTCATTTTGATGAGTAACACTGGAATGGGGTGCCAGCTTCTAGCCCTGGTGAAGGGGACTTTCTCTGCTCTCTTTTCAGAGTAAGACTAAAGAGATTACTCTTTGAAGAAAAAAAAATAAAAGGGGGTTAAGAAAGAAAGGAAAAGGAGACTCTGCATTCTTTGAAGAAAGCAAGTGCTTTATGACAATGCAAAAATTAAAAAAAACCAAAAACACCTTAATGTTGACATGCTTGACTTAATGATGAAGAAGCTGAGTCATGAAATCATCTCACGTGCTCAGCTGAACTAGGCTAGGAATTCTGGTTAGATCAGATTTACCACATGTTCACCAGGATGACATCTAGGTAGAGGGCGCGGCGGTTGCAGCAGGTTTTGTAGTTAAGTATTAATAGAAATAAAATCCTTCTGTCTATGCCTATAAAAATATCCATGATATTCAATTAATGCAGGCCTTTCTTTCTGGATGATATTACAGAAGTACCAGAATAAGTCTGTAATCAAGTCCCCACAACATGAATTGTTTTAATATTTAAATTCATGAGAAGGCTGTTAGTAGGTAATCAACCTAAACACTGCAATTTTTTTTTTATTTTTTTTTTTAAGATTTTTTAAATTTATTTATTTGAGAGAGAATGAGATAGAGAGAGAGCATGAGAGGGGGGAGGGTCAGAGGGAGAAGCAGACTCCCCACCAAGCAGGGAGCCCGATGCGGGACTCGATCCCGGAACTCCAGGATCATGACCTGAGCCGAAGGCAGTCGCTCAACCAACTGAGCCACCCAGGCGTCCCCCTAAACACTGCAATTTAACCTGCAGGGAACCTTCCAGAATTAAGAGAGTCTGCAACTTCAGGTGCATTCATATTGAACGCCTTCTATCTTTCAGTATTGAAGTATGACCTGTAAATATGACGGATATGTTCCTGACACTCATACCCAGAGGAGAAGAGCAAAAGAGCAATGCTCTTTTTTTTTTTGTTAAGCAAAACGTAACAATACAATGCAAAATAGAATGTGTGGAAGAAGGGCATTTATCCCAGAGACTGTATGGAGGAGGACTGCTTCATGGAATCTCCCTGTTGGAGGGAGACCTGAGATGAATTTGAAAGAGTGAGTGGGACTTAGCCATGTGAAGATTAATAAGAAGGCATTCCAAAAACATAAGAGATGGACCAAAGACAAACCAGAAACATTTTTAAACTAAAACTGGGAACACATGTGGTAAAAAGACACAAGGCAAGACATTTACGCTAACGCAGAATTTCATTTAAGACACATGATCTTACTAGAAAATCTTACATGAAGTATTCTGAAGTCAATAATTTCTAAATAATTTAGGAATATGTTTCATAAAACATGACCTATGATTTCAAAGAATTTATAGGAAAGTAAAACCTTATTCTTGATTTAATAATGCTATTAGTCATCCAGTGTTACTTTGCTTTGGAAAAACTGTTCAACCTAAGGGAAATGTGCTCTTCAATATTGAATGAAAGATACCCTAGAACAACTCTGTAGGAATTTTGTTTTAATTTTTTTCTCCATTATCATTTCAAAAGATGAAAAGGGAAAATGCAAATGCCGTGTCTTTTAAAAAATGTGTCTTTTAAAAGATATTACTAATTCTTTTTTTCTTATTACATGGTATGTGTTTTTAGCCACCCTTCATCCTGTTGTATCATTGATCAAGATGATCGGCCTCCAATTCCACAACTTCCTATGCGCAAAAGGTACAAGCATCTTGAAAGAAGTCTTAGAAATGATCAAACGCATTCTATAGCTTTGCTTCTGACACATCTAAGGACTCAATTTGTGGCTTTTTGTTGAATAGGCTTTGAAGTTAAACATGCTTCGTATATTCCTGGAATATACAAAAGAACCTAAGCAAAGAAAAAAATGTTTAGTAGGAATGAAAATTTTTAGTTGTTCAGAAACAAAACTGAGAACAATATAGATTTAACATTTTATTGTCTCCCTGTAATAGATGATAAGCTCTAGGACAGAGCCACACCACCATGGAGTCCTAAGTGCCCTGAGCATTGCCTGGCATGGGTTTGGTAAAATATATGTTCAAAGAGTTGATGAATGAAGGAATGAAGGAATGAATAGAATGTATAAAAATGATTTGTGAGTAAAAATATACTCATATATTAATATGTAAGAAATTCATACTAAAATTTTTTGTCTTGGACAACCTTTTGACAAGAATTTGGCAGCTTCATTTGATTAAATGTCTCTGCAGTATTCCATTCAGAGAGGATGGTAAAAGACTCAATGAGCAATTTGTTCCAGTGCTTTCACAAAAGTCATTGTGGCCAAAGACAAAGTTAAATCAGTTATGATATCAGGACCAAAATCAGGGTAGGCATAAAATAGAGCTAGGTTGTTTCACTAACTGCAGAGTGAACAAAATGCAACAGGTGAGCACAGCTGGTTGCTGCTACTGTGTTCTTTGTTTCATTTTGTGGATTTCACATCCTGGGAATTTCATCTCATTCACCATCCACAGGATAGCTTCAACCCTGAACAGATATATCATAGGAGAAGACCTTTGTAACTACGGTGTCAATCCCTTAAATCCCTCTCCCCACAGAAAACTAAAGAAAGAGAAGCATAATACTGGGTTAATAATAGATACTTGAGAAGAACTAGCTCAAATTCTGAGGCCGCATCAATATCTTACCTCATTTTATCAGTTCTTCTTCATTTTTTTTTTTAGATTTTTTACTTTTAAGTAATCTCTACACCCAACATGGGGCTTGAACTCACAACCTGAGGTCAAGAGTCACATGCTCTATGGATTAAGCCAGCCAGGTGCCCCTCATTTTATCAGTTCTCATACATGCTATTACTTTTAAGTGTCATATTTAGTATATAAAAACCCCTAATCAGGGGCGCCTGGGTGGTTCAGTTGTTAAGCGTCTGCCTTCGGCTCAGGTCATGGTCCCGGGGTCCTGGGATCGAGCCCCGCATCGGGCTCCCTGCTCTGCGGGGAGCCTGCTTCTCCCTCTCCCACTCCCCCTGCTTGTGTTCCCTCATTCGCTGTGTCTCTGTCAAATAAATAAATAAAATCTTTAAAAAAAAAAAAAGCCCTAATCTAGTGAAGTTTTTCATCAGTTTCATATAGTTGTATATTAAAATTATTCTAGTTCTGTTAAAATATCAGGTCCCTGAGCCCTAAACACAAGAGCGTAAAAAAAAAAAAAAAAAATGAGTTGATACTGTTGACATGGCTCAAACTAGCGTGTGTCATTTTGGAATCAGAGGGGATGCACACAAAAGAAGCTAATTCCTTCATTGTTAGGGGAAAAGATCATTTCAACTAGTTTCAGGATCCCATGCCAACTGGCCAAAGAACTACAGGAAAAACTCGAGGAAGTAAATTCAGGTATTTTGAACCTTAAATATTTAGTAAGTAGCAGTAGACAAAGCAGCCAAGACTAATGTGGAATAATCAGGGCTGACTGCAAAAAAAAAATTGAATACACTTTTTATTCAGAAGTCTTTTTTTCTTTTTCATCTTACATTATATAGTTTTCTCCAACTGATTTTCTAGAATAGATAATTACTATAATTCAAGAGTGAACACAGAACCAATATTTTCTGAAGATGGAAGTAAACAGATTTTTGAGAACTCACTTAACTCAGCAATGGAAACAAAAACAATTATGCTCTGTGATGAGTTTGACAGATCTGAGTTTTCTTTACTTAATATTCAAATCCATGGAAATTTCATGAGAAATTTATAACTCTTCTGCAACTAACTTCTTTAATTTCTTATTCCTGACCAATCAAGAGACTAAGCCAGACGTGAGAGGTTTCAGTACTTTCATCTGCTGTTGGACTAAGGGCTTTTCTTTTATGAATACTTCTGACAATGTATTTTATTAACATAAGGACTTATAATTTACTAAGAGCCTTCACACCCATCCATACACATTTTATACTTCCTATGAATCTTTGAGGAATATATTTTATATATATAAATATATATAGCAAAATATTATGAATGTTAAATCCATTAAGCAGATGAGGAAACTAAATCTCAAAGAGATCTGAAAAGTAACAAGGCCCTCTAAAGTAACAAGAGTTATAAATGGCAGAACCAGAACTTTCAGTATGGAGATTCTAAAATTCATCCGTTTTTCCATTATACCACAGTAAATGTGTACATTTTACCACATTCGCCAAATGCCATCACCAGTTATTATGCCATTTCTTGCCATTCTTCAATGTGTTTTGAAATTATTAATCTGGCAAAGAATAAATATCATCCATTTACAGTTAAGCAGAAAAGCCTCTAAAGCCCAAACATAATTTTAGAGTATCAGTTGACATCACTGTGAATAAATCCTACGGCATTTTGATAAAAAGGTCTGGCAACACTCACCTCTTTCTGACGGTACTTTATGGCCAATTTGAGTCTCGCGAGATCATTTCCACTTTGTTCTTCTATGAGACTACTGTCGTCTCTGTAATTAAGAATGATTTCCAGTTCTCTGGAACTCCTTGTCTGATCCAGTAGGTCCTTAGCAAATTGTTTGCACTGTCGGGACAGCTCCTCATACTCCGACTTGAATTCGTTTTCCACTTTACTCAGCTCCTGAAGCTCCCAACTTAGCTGAAAGGCTGTGAGAAAAGGGTCTTCACTTGACAGTGCGATGAGAGAGGGGCTGGCCAAGGCCTTGTAGATGTTGAGTCTGGAGCGTGAGTGGCGGAGGCTATCCACGTCTGAGCTGGAGACGCATTCCACGCAGTTGCAGCGGACCTCGTGGGGTCTGGGCACGGAGACTCCTTTCTGAACTAGAAGCTTGATTATCTCATAATTATTTGTATGGGCTGCCAAAATGATTGGTGTAATGTCTGGAGTGAATTCAGAGAACTGCTTATCAAGGAGTATGGGAGGCACCTAGAAAAAAGAAGAAACCAGAGGTGATGAATATTTATTCATTTGTTCAAGCCTGTGAATTTCAAACAGCATGCTATAGCAACGCTGAACAAAGTTCATAAATCTTTTGCCAGGCTTTTTTGCAGGAGAGAGATGGCTTTTTTTTCTTTTGCCAAAAGACAAAAGAAAATTAGTGGAAAAAGAAAAACTTTCCGATATAATGACACATTATTCTTATTATATTTGTTTAATCTGACTTTTGACATTTTATGAAATCTTCAAATAAGTGGCTATGGGAAGTCTTTACTTGATAAAAGACTTCCTTGCTCCCAGCGTATTTTCTGACTCTCAATCTTTGCTTTTCTTTCAGGGAGGTGTGGACTCCTTAAATAATCAAGAAATACGCTGAATAATAGTTAATGATTTGTTTTAAACCCAAGCTTTACTTCTGCAATATGTCTTTTAGTTCTTCAATTGTTTTTGTTTGTTTGTATGTTTGTTTGTTGTTTTATCTTCTGCATTCCTAAAACCAAGTCAATGATTAAAGGTGGCAGCAGAACATAAGAAGGCTGGCCTCATGCTTTATGCTTTCATCTATCACTTTATAGTATATTTTCCAGATGACCACAAGTGCTCCATCACCATTTTATCAGAAATAAACAAATGCTTCTCAATGAATCAGGTCACCGTGTGTTTATGCTCCATTTCCTTTGGGTTTTACTCTAGGAATGGTAATGATGAAAATACTATAATAGGCACTATTTAGTCAACGTTTGTTAGGTACATTAACCCTCACTATTATTTACATCTTATAGATGGGATCCTTCAGTGCATAAGTGCAAGACCTACTTTTTGCACCCAGGTCCATCTGACACCCGAGGCGGTGTGTATTCCACCACACCACAATGCTTTACAATTTTTGGTTTAATAGTTCTTCCTGCTGGCACAAAGAGGCATCTTTGAAAATAAATGCTGTATAAGGATGAGTTAAAAAAGCATGGCAGAAAAAATGACGACCCATGTACCGTATAAAATATACTGTAAACTATAAAGGAAACCATAAAAGGTTCAAAAGCAAAACAACTATGTGGAGAAAAACAAAACTCATATGAAACTTTAATTACACTACTTTTAAGTAGAGGTATAATCTTTATATGAGAATAATTAAGCCTGTGTGCTTCTAATTTATTTGGCCATTTAGAATATCTATTTATTTTATAAGAAACACTCTATAAAGAATAACGAGATGTAGTTATCTATTTAAAGGTTATTTAAAATATATGCAATCAGTTGGTAAAGATAGTACCTATTAATTACAAAATTAGGAACAACACTGTTGAGATAGCACTATATGTTCAAGCAGGGTCAATACATACTTCATTACTTTTAAGTAAATGGCTTTCATTTTAAATATTACATTAATTAAAAATTTATTTATTACAAAGAGAAAAATGTCACTAATTAAAACTAAACACGTAATCTTTAAGAAAGTATACTTCAAGTTTTTTCTATGGCAGACATGAGGAAAAACAAAAACAGTGTAAGTAAATAAGTTCCTACGTTAAATGTGTATTTAAGTAATAGATGCAATTTGAAGGGGCTTTCTGGATTCAATAGAATTTCATCTAGATTTCTATGGCTTTAAAAAGCTATCAATAATTTTAAATTTATTAACCATAAAATGCAACTTTGAAGAGTACTTCAGCAAAATTTTATGAAAAAATAATTATAATATGGTCATATTAAAAAGCATTCATATTTCAGAAGAATGCCAGTGTCATAGTATTAGAGAGAGATATGGCAAAATAACTGATAAAATATGTGAGCATATACCAAGAATAAATATTCTGTTTGAGTCTTAATATTCAATAAATCATTGTGAATTTTTAATTTTTTAAATATATGGACATCTCTAATTGTATCTTTTATAAGGAATTTATTTTAGAAAATAACTTTTGAATGAAACCTTTTTTTTAAAGATTTTATTTATTTATTTGACAGAAAGAGAGAGAGCACAAAGGGGAAGCGTCAAGCAGAGGGAGAGGGAGAAGCAGGTTTTCCACTGAGTAGGGAGCCCGATGTGGGGCTCGATCCCAGGACCCTGGGATCATGACCTGAGCCGAAGGCAGACGCTTAATCGACTGAGCCATCAAGGCGCCCTTGAATGAAACTGTTTTATAAGACCACCAATACAATAATAATTTATTGGCCAATAAATAACTATTTTTTAAATTATGTAATTTTAATTATCTTAGAGTTATTTCTTACTCTAAAATGTGTTCTAAATTCAACAATATATTATATGTTGTCTTTACCATTAATTGTTTGAGGCCCAGCTGGTCAGGGACCACTAGACACTGGGGACTGTTTGGCCTTAGGGTCCTTCACGCAGGAGTCTGCGGGGCCTCTGACCAGCCAGCCAGGCAGCCACACGTCAGGGTTTAGGCATGTCCTAGAGGCAGGCTCTGGGGTTTCTCCCATTCCATTAAGAAAAATAGTAATAAAACAAAAACACTTTAAAAAAATTGCCTGTTATTGAGTACTAATTATATGCCTGCAGCAATGATTACATGGTGTTTGAAAATTGGAGGTTATCTTACTCTATCATCACTTCTACATTTACTAGCTTGTATTCCTCTATATGTAAACCTATGCCCTCTTCTCCTTTTTATTACTGAGTATTCCTATGGACCCATGGATTCTTCCTTTATTTTATTCAATATATAGTGATTAATTGCAATAATTCACTTTGAACTTACTGAGGTATAACATACCTTCATTAAAATGCACAACTGTTAATGTGAAGCTTTATATATATATATATATTTTTTTTAAAGATTTTATTTATTTATTTGAGAGAGAGAGAGAAAGAGTACGAGAGGGAGGTGGGTCAGAGGGAGAAGCAGACTCTCCACCAAGCAGGGAGTCTGCTGAGCCGAAAGCAGTCGTGGAATCAACTGAGCCACCCAGGCGCCCCGAAGCTTGATAATATTTTTAAAATGTGTATGCACCTGTGTGACACAACACAGATAATAATCCAGAAGAGGGCCTGCACCTCAGGAACCTTCCTCTTGTCACCTGCCGGTTGTTACATTTTGTAATCACAAACCTAAACGCTATCCCCAGAGATCACTTTCACACACACTTGTTCACTTTATATACATGAATCATAAAGTATGTACTTTTTACATCTAGCTTTCTTTGGGCAACATTAGCTCTTTGAAATACATTAATATTGTTAGAAGCAATCTTTTTTTGTAATTTCCATTCTGTATAATATTTTGATTTATGAATATAACACAATTTATGTAATATTCTCTTGTTGATAACATTTGTGTGATTTCCAGTTTCCTATTTGTGGCTAAGAATATTGTTCCTATGCACATATTTGTCCGTGTCTGCTAATACATATCTAAGAATGCAATTTCTGGGTCATATAGTTTTCTTTAGCAGTTATAGCAATTTCAAGACTATCGCACATTATACTTGGTATTGCCAATTATCTACCTATTTGTTTATGCCATTCAATATGTCAAGAAATCATTTTGAATTTTTATTTATTATTTATTATCAAGGGTGTTGAATTTGCCTAAGGCCTTTTCCATTTCTATGGAGATAATTGTATAATTGTTCCCCTTACTCCTAAAAACATGGCAAGTTAAATTAATGGATTTCTTAATATTGAAACATTCTGGCTTTCCTGAAATAAATTCCAATTGGTCAAATGTGTAATATTTTTAGTATGACTAATATTTTTATTTATATTTTTTGCACCAATGTTCATAAGTGAGATTGATTTATAATCTTTACTATGTTGTCTTCATCAAATTTTGGTATGAATACTGTGCTTGCTTCATAAAAAGCATATGGATTCTCTCTTCCTTTGGAATACAGGGAGATGTGCCCCTCAGATCTTTCTTCTTCTTTTTTTTTTTTTAAGATTTTATTTATTCATTTGAGAGGGAGAGAGACAGAGAGAGCACAAGCAGGGGGAGAGGGAGAAGCAGACTACCTGCTGAGCAGGGAGCCTGACGTGGGGCTTGATCCCAGGACCCTGAGATCATAACCCGAGCCAAAGGCAGATGCTTAACCGACTGAGCCATCCCAGGTGCCCCTCAGATCTTTCTTCGAGAGGACTTACTGCCTACCTGTAAGAATTAATAGCCTCCAGCTGTCCACCTCTTTAGGTTCTTCCTCAATTTTGGAGCCCAGGACAATAACGGAATAAGTAGGCTAGACAAGGGCCTATTTCCACCCAGGATGGGACACCTCTGGTGAGTTCCCCTTTACAATGGCAGGGACTTTTGTCACTTCTGCATCATGGTCTAATGGCTTCCTTTTCCCAATCCTGCTTCCTTCCCTTTTACTTTCAAAATGTTATTTTCCAATAAATCTTTTGTAATCAACTCATTTTATCCTCCCCTTGGGGCATCCTGGGTGCCTTAGTTGCTTAAACATCTACCTTTGGCTCAGGTCATGATCCTGGGGTCCTGGGATCAAGGCTCCCTTCTCAGCGGGGAGTCTCCTTCTCCCTCTCCCTTTGCTCCTCCCCCCTGCTCATGTTTTTTTTCTCTCAAATAAATGAATAATAAAAAAAAAATCTTTCTCTGCTTCTTGAAGAATCCAAAATGTGATTGATCTGTTTTCCATACTGTGAGGGAAAAAAATAAGTAGCACTGAAATTATTTGATCTTTGAAAGTTCAAAATTGTCCTGTGAAACCCATCAATGCTTGCTATTCTTTTATGGGATAGTTATTCAGTAACTTTTCTTATTTATTGCATAATAATTAGCTTGGCTTTTTTATCAATAATGGGGTCAGTTAGTATAACCTGCATTTTCCTGGGAAGTTATTCAGTTCATCTGGGTTCATTTAGAAAAGATAGTTTTAAATATGCAAGGATTTGGGAAATGCTATACTCACAGTGTCCCTCCTGAGGAATCTACCGTGGGACAAGATGATGGGGAACTGAGGAAAGGACAAATGGTGGGGTATGTATGTATGTAATAGTTAATCAAAGA